CTTTCCCTGTCAAAAAAAATGACTTCATGTGATTTCCTTAAAAAAAACCCCCAACCCAAACATTTGGAATCCACGGTCTAAAACGCCACGCAGCCACCGAGCCCAGGAGCCCCCACCACAACTCCAAACATCTTCCAAGCACATAGGTCTGTGCCTGGTGACCCGAGTCCAGCTGGAAACACCCCAAAAGGCCTCTCCGTCACCTAGGGACGCTCAGCAACTGAAAATCCCTGCTGGGGCACACACGGGGACGTTTGCCTTGCGCTCAAGGCATTTGTGTCGAGCACACTGATGCTGGGTAAGTGTCCTGCCACCTCTCCTTCTTCACTACAAGGTCTGCAAAGTAACAGTTGGGAGTGATGATTTCGAAGAATCTACTCTGCAGGAGAAAGTCCTGAAAATACACCAGGGCAGGGCTTGTAAAATTGGCGTTCTGTGCTCGGCCTGACTTTGAACAAGTCACTTGCTCATCCCCTTGCACCTACGCACCCGTAGAAGCCGTGCTTGCGCCCAGAGCCCGCTGCTCCAGGGCCAGCGACGCTGGCAATCGAGCTGTGCCCCGAGGGGAGCCAAGTCCGACGCCGAGTCAAGGCTGGGCTTACCCACGTCTCCCAAGAAACCGAGGCAAACGGGGACCTTAACTTGAATACCTAGAATGAGCTTCACCAGATGACTGCACGTCTCGCCGACAGGGAGAAGTAACCACGAAAGGGAAAAGGGGACTTAAAGTCCTCCTGCTGCTCTTCACCGCTGCAAAACGGACGCCGTGCCACCCCAGGACCCACGGGGAGCCAGGAGACACACAGACACCACCAGGAGGAGACACGGACATTTTAAAGGGCATTTCCTCAATTAACATAAAAACTACAGAGTGCTGGAAGCTAAAGAGGAGAAAGTTTCTATCTAACACAGCTAGAGAAGTGAAAGAACTGGAATTCCCACTAAAAATCATAAATATTTAAAACATTTAAGGGAAGTTCTCCTTTTCTTGCCACGTAAAACAAACAAGAGAATTGCAGCCTCCTAGTACCTACTCAACAGCAGCCAACGTAGCAGCACGAGGTGAGGACCGAAGACACCAACCTGTGCTCAGAGCCCTACACAGACACCACCGGCAGACGGGATCCGTCACGGCTTGTAGGACGCCCACAGCGCAGCCGAGAGCCAAGCTCTTCTCAAGACAGATAAACTAGCGGAATGTTCTCTACGTTTCACCTTTCTCTATATTTTTTTAAACCAAGAACTTTTCTGCACTTACTTAGATAAAAGATCTGAAAGTAACAATATAGTTAAGTTCAAAATGACTAATGCTGGTGAACCTCTTTTAACCGAAATGGAGCAGGCCTTACGCTGGCTGTAAGCTCCAGGTTTTTGCTCCCCTTATTAACTACAGAAGAGAGGACTGCCCGCTCTCACAACTCTACACCAGATCTCGCTGTGCCTGGTGTTTGTGCATCCGAGCAGTCAGCTGAAATGAGTGTGTGAGAACTCCAGCCTCCAGCAAACAGAGAAAACTCTGGTCCTCACGCTGTGGAGAAAACCTTGAAAACACAGCGCAGGAGCTAAAGGCTCAGGATACCAATAAACACAGTTCCTACAATGATTTTAAAAAACCCTCAACTTTTTAAAACTGGCTTCTAACATTTAACCATTCAAGCCTCACACTGCAAATGAATCAGAAATCTGAAAGATCTCTGCTTTAACGCTGCATTTGATTGCCATCACAATGTGCTTGAAAGATGCAAATTTTCAGTTAAAACTTACTGGGACAAATAATTTTTCCTTTAAAAAAAAGTTTAATTCTTACTTAGAGTTGTCTTATAATACTAATTCAATAATTATTGCCAATAAAAATATGAGATGGAGAAGATTCTATCTTCCTTTTTTCCTTTCACATTTCTATTACAAAAACACTTGGTGAAAACAAAATGTTTTCATGAACGTTTTCTTTTTAAAAAGAAATTAAAACCAAAAATTTGATTGGAATAGACTTCTTTTAATTGCTTCTGCAAGATCAAAGAGGAGCTCATGACCAAGTACGAGCTCTTAGTGTAACAACGCCTCTTTATACTCACTGATCTCAAATGACCAAGAATTACACATAAAAAAAGCCTTGATGCAAATATTGGCAGCAGGTAATACCGCTGTTTTCCCTCAGAACCAGATCACACGGGAGCAGCGGCCGCACAGAATCCACCCAGGTCTACCAAGCTGCCCGTCGCAGCCCTGAGCAAGCACAGGGAATTCAGCAAACCACCATTTCACCTTCTATTGCCAATAACCCGTGAGTGCTTCTGCCAGTGGGTACCCAAAAGCAGCACAGTCTACGAAATCAAGGTGAAATCAAACGCTGTCCAATAGCTAATGACATCGAAGGCTCCTAAATACGACTCTCCTGAACCCTACGGAGACAGGAAAGGTACATCCCCGCGGCGCCCGGAGCCGCCCGGCTCCCGCCTCGGTCTCCCATCACCAGCCAGGACCGGGGAGGAGGAACGGAGAGGGGCGGCCGGAGGAGGCTCTGGCAACTTTCCGGTACCTGTATTTATTGGGGAACATCCTCTCACAGTCCTTGCACTCATAGACCTGTCCATCTCCAAGACCTTCTTGCTTGATCTCCTCATTCAGGGTCTCGTAGAGGGAGCTGACGGCGTTGCAGGCGTACTTCTTGTGTCGCCGCAGGTCGAGCTTTGACTGGAACAGTTCATCACAGTCCTCGCAGCGAAACGTGTGCTCTTCTACAACAGACAGAGAAGATGGTTTTGACTTGTGGGTCAGGATGTTCAAACGAGTCTAATTATTCTACCCAACGCAGGGCTTGTAAAGCAAATGTCATGTTGTGTGAGGATCTACCAAACAAAGAGGCAAAGGGGAAATCTGCAAGTGGCAGGAGAGAGAAACCAAGGCAGGCTGTGTCAGCAGAGCGCTTTCGCTTTAAGCATTAAGAAAAAAATAAATCAATCACACAACCAGGAGAGATCTTGTTTTCTTTGTGTCCTGGCCTCTGCTGAGACGTGGAGACCTACGAGAATGAGCCGATGCTCAGAATACTGGGGGTACTTCTGGAGCGCTGTGTCTGTTTGCAGTGAGGTTTTCCGAAAATAGCAACGAGCTCTTCCTCAAAAGGGGCTCCCGGGAAAAAAGGAGCAAACCACACTCCTAAAGACAGCCCCTGGGAAAAGCAAACCGCCACAGCACAAACCTGGAGCAGCTCCTTTCTAAGAAAATGTCTTTCTAACGCTGTGCTCCTGCCTCTTCCCGCACAGCTGCAGAAGCACAGTGCGCTGTCAAGCCCCCAGAGTTCAAGACCGGAGTAACATGGAAGAGAGAACAGGGAGCCAAAGTCTTTGTTGTTGTGCTGGGGTTTTTTCTTTTTTTTTTAAAAAAAGATCTAATGCACATAATAAATTACTGTAGTCAAGGTCAAACAAATTAAAAAGAGGGCAGCTATTATTAAGTTTACAAGGCAGCATCCTGACCATAGTGCCAAGCCAAACAATCAGCTCGGAGCTGTAAATTTTCCAGGAGAAGGACGTCCGCGAGGCAGTCGGGATAGCTCCGGGCTCCTCACCCAGCAGCCAGCCTGGAACAGCAGCTTCCCAGCCACCACCAGGTCCCCGGTGCCGCGCTCCCCCGTCCTCCGCTACCCTCTTCCTCCAGGCTCTGTGGCCCTCTTCCCTATTATGATTTAGTCTCTTTTTCTGAGAACTTTATTTTCAAAAGGAAAGCTTGTGGTAAAACGCATTAGTTCAGAGGGAAGAGTGGAAATATTCTGTCTAAGCGATGCAGATGAAATCCAGCGCTGTGACAGAGCTGCTGCGGGGAAGGGGACGGCGGGGAACGCTACCCTCTTCCTCCAGGCTCTGTGGCCCTCTTCCCTATTATGATTTAGTCTCTTTTTCTGAGAACTTTATTTTCAAAAGGAAAGCTTGTGGTAAAACGCATTAGTTCAGAGGGAAGAGTGGAAATATTCTGTCTAAGCGATGCAGATGAAATCCAGCGCTGTGACAGAGCTGCTGCGGGGAAGGGGGCAGCTGGGAAGGGGTCTCCGTGGCCACCACTCTGCCCCGAGCCCTTTCCAAAATCTGCAGCCCCGTGGTTTACCGTACCCCGCGCGCTGGTTTGCCTGAAGTTTTGCACCATTACAACCCCTGAGGCTGTGCTTAAAGGCCTGAAACTGTGTTTTATATAAATCAGGGTTAACTCTGTTAAAAGTGCGACACGAGCACAAGCAGAGGCAGTGTCACCCCCCGCCCCCGCCGCTTCCCCGCCTGCACTCGGGCAAGAATCTCCCTTCTCTGCTTCTCTCAGCAGAGCCTATTTCGCCTCGGGCTGTGGTTTTCGACCCGTGCCCCTGCACGCCGGGGACTCTGCGACTTGCTGCTGCGGTGACTAAGACAGACAAGATCCCATAAGCGGCTACAGCAAGCTACGTAGGCAGATGAAACCCAGAGTGGTCCACACCTACACGGAAAGTATCGACATCCCCACAAACTGGAAAAAGTCAAGCGCAGCTGAAAGAGAAAATATCACTACGACCTCATGGGCGAAGCCTTGCTGTTTATCCACGCAGCGGGTCTTGTGGTACTGTACCCGCTGGACACAGGAATGAGCAAAATACAGAGACGCTTTGGGATTTCCTGAACTGCAGAAGAGGAATGTGAAAAGAAGAAAAATCCAGTAGGTCAACATTTTCCTTTGGAGGGCGAAGGGGGTTTTGACTAAAAAAGAAGACCTAAGGGAAGAAAATAGCCGTATCTTTCCTATTTCACCTAGTTTTGCCAGACCTTATACTCTGAAATTGCTATCAGCAGCCTCACAAGGCAGTGGATCAGGCCCTGCTCTACTCCTCACAGAAATTCTGTTTACTAGCACTTTGTAGAAGAGTACCAATATGTTTTCTGTCCCTAGAGAGGGAAACCTGGAAATCAGGACATAAAAAACTGCCTAGCAGTATCCAGACACCGTGTGGTGCCTACCATTAAAATAACCTACCATTAAAATAACCAAAACTACTTTGGGGGGGGACAGAAAGCATTGTAGTGTCACGGCATGTCTTGTTATCGCACTCTACTCATAACAACAGCACGAAGCATGCACTGTTACCTACCAAAATTCACTATTTCATCTGCACACGTTTATGGACCGAACACATCCTCAGTGTGAAAGCAGCAAGGTGGGGGGGGTAAGCGCTGTGACTCGGTGTGCTGCACCTTTCCACTCTCCACGTGGTCGTGACCGGGGGAGAGGAGATGAGCCCGACGGCATCGAGCGACCCGAACGCAGGCTCTGCATGGGCTGAGGCAGTAACCGCCTGGTGCCACCCCTCCCCATCGCTCCTGAACTCGCACTGCAGCAGGCGTTTATCCGCTGCGGCGTTCCGTTTTCGCAGTCCCAGACGCCAAGCTGCAGTGCACAGTGCTGGCACTAACAACCACGACCGCGCTTCTGCTCTGTGCCTGACTGCTCGAGATGTACGTGGGACAGCAGCTCGTCTGACCCACGCAGCCCACCGAGCTGTGGAGGAACAGGATAAATCCCTCGGTAACTCCAGAGAGCGTGGAGCTGCTCTGCCAAGGTGTCCACCCAGCTCAGAATTCGCCCCGCAAATCAAAGGTGTCCCCTGTTTTGTAAATAGAGCCATGGCTCAGCACAAGAAGGCTCTTTCGCAGCAGCAATCGACAGCTCTCCAGACCGGGAACTCCCAGATCACTTCACCTCCTGAGCAGGTCCCGCGAAATTCCCAGCATCTCTCAAGCTCAACCTGGCAATGCCCCAGACCCAGAAACTTGGAATGGAGCAAACAGCTTTTTTTTTTTCTTCTCTTTTTATGACTTCAGACAAAATGCATCAAAATACCTTCTGCAAATCCATACTGAATTCTTCCTACCAGTTCGAGATTCATATTATTAATTGTACCTTATTTCACCCAAACTATCCTCCAGGAACCAGAAATCCACTTTGAGTTTGCAGCACTAGCCAAGCAGAACAATTTACTCCATACCTGGCGAAAGCAGGGCACCTCGCCAGCACCCCGTCCCGCAGCACACAACGACACGGCACTACCTGCTGCTACCAATAACCCACCCGGGTCCTTTCTGTGAGGTTACAGGACAGGCTGACAGACGGACGGACGACATACACTGACAGCCTCAGTAACAACTGTTAGAGAGAGCTTTTCCTTCGAATTCTGCTCGTCCTTTGCCACAGATCTGGCAGAGACCGCAGGCGGCACAGGGTGCTCTCAGCGGGCAGCAGCTGGGGAGCTGCCCCGTGGGACCGCTGTTAAGCAGCGTAAGCACCAAGGCAGTTCAGCCCAGGCACGTGCACACTCTCAGAGCTGCACAGATTTTGCAGCTTTAGCCCTTGCACATCACTAAACTGAATAAGCCCTGTCAGTTCTGTACAGGTTTGTGCTTCCGTAACAACAACGCTCCTCTCCCACCAGCAGCACAGCAGCTCTTCCGCAGGTAGCGAGGATGGATGGCAAGCAAAGAAATGCACGTGCTTCAGAATATCTGGGCTTGGAAAAAGAAGTTTTATTGACAAGAAGAATTGGAGAACTGATACAAACACGATTCAAAGCCTTGCAGTCACACGTTGCACATGTCACCACTGGTGGCAATGCTATTCTGACGCTCAGACGGGTTAAACAGAGGAAGACCTGGGTGGCTGGTAGAGCGGCTGATGGTATCGTACCAACACCCAGCGCCTGGTCCTTGGCATTCCCGTTTCTGAGCTCGGGAAGATCAGACTTCTCACTAAACACCGCTGCAGGCAAAGGAACTGACCGGTAGACTAAGGGCCAGAGCATCACCCTGCAAAGGGAAACCTCAGCAACCAAGGAGGCTTAGGGCCAAATGAAAGAGACCTGGTATCTACCCGGTGTCTGCACCAGACACCCAGCTTGTAGGCTTCAGGTTCATTAAACGGTCTTTTTTTCTGCTTCTTTAAGCACCAAAAATAAAATATTGCCCTTCAAAGCAAGTTCTCATTAAAGTTTTTGTCTTTATTTAAGCACCACAAATGAAAATCCTGCCCTTCAGAAAAGGTTCCCACTTCAGTATCTTACAGGGAGAAGGGGATAAAAAGAAAAGAAAAATCCAGTTACAAAAAAATTGCTGCCTGTTCTCTGTGTCTTGTTTGTCAAATCTACGGTTATATGTGTCTATCTTAAGTTCCATCAGTAACACTCAGGACAAAGTTTTAGGAATGTAACAGAAAAATAAATCAGTGCCTAATAGCTTTCAGAGAAACCAAGGGGAACACAATTATGTGGCATCTACATGCTAATCTACCAGACTTGAATCTCAAAGGAGTTCAAGTGCCCTACTCAAAATTCCTGCAGTGATAAGGGGTCTGCTGTGTTTGGCTGGGGTTTGGAGAAAAGATTTTTATGATAATTATCTTTGTGTGGAACAATTTTGCATTTTCTTTCTTCTTAATTCAGACTCGAAATGGGGGTGCGAGGCAGCAGGAAGATAGCATTACCGAAAGTAAAAAGTATTAAGAAGTCAAATATTGAACGTTGGCCTATTATAATTTGAAAGTAATTCTGTGGCACAAGCACCAGACATTACCAGGAAGACACGGATAAACGCTACACAATGAGGACGACGGAAAACAAGGAGCACTTTTCGTTTGTTCAAATAAAAGCCTGTTAGAAACAGAAATGCAAAACAGTGCAGAGTTTTCTCTCTGATTTCTCCCCAACATCCACAGAAAGGCACGTGTTACTCCATCAGTGTGAATGCAGAAATTATCCATCTCTGTGTGCTGGTCTCATGAAAACTACTAAGTTTTTTAGGGAGAAAGAAGACTGAAAAAATAATCCCAAACGTGGCATCTCCGTCAGACAGCAGCTACCGCACTGCCTGTTCGTTCCCTTCACCCCCAGACCTTCAGCAAAAGAGCCTGCAGCAGCACTAACCCCCAAACTATCCACTTTTTCATAAATATTTCAAACTAATTGTGCATATCATATGTATGCTCTTAAAGAATTTCACTGCAAATTTGAATCTGAAAATTCTATTCATATACAGGTAAAAGAAAATAAACGTACTGTCGGATGTCCAGGCGAGACAACTCAAATCTCAGCGATTCATTTTGTAGAACGGTGTTTCCAACTAGTTTAAAAAAGACTGGAAGCTGAGAATCTATTTATAGAAATTAGTCATCAAATAATAATGTGAAACCTGCAATAGGCTCTACACTGAACGAGCAGAAAAAGACAGAAGTAATACACCCTAATGATCTCTTGAGAAAATTCCTGTCCCTGTTACGCTGTCCTTCAACTTTCCCTGCCACCCAACGTCAAGGAAACTCCGAGCCCTGCAAAAGGGGAGCAGAACCTCGCAAGTCCGGACCGGCTTCCACGTCGTCCCAGGACCACCACGCGCGGCCGGGGGGTGAGGGTTCTGCAGCGCTGCCTCGCCACAGGGCTCCGTACTCCCCTCCGCACCGCAAATCTGAAAATGGGAATCTGTACCATTTTTGATTACTCCAGATATGTCTGTACTGTTGCCTTGTTTTCGCTGTATTTTTGGGATTGGGGTAGCACCTCTTTCCTAGTTTTCCTAAGAGCTCACTCTCACGGCAGAGTGTTTGTATCGACAGGCTCTGTCACCGGCAGTCAAAGGGGTGGGACGTCAAACACCAGCCCCAGTCCCAGTGGAACGTCGAGAAAAGCACTGAACAAAGGAAAAAAAAAATCCTGGCGACGCTCTCAGGTTGCCGGAATATTTCAGGCCACGTGCCTTGCTAACCTGTCCTCCGGTCGCTGGCGGGGGCCCCTCCCGAGGGGTGCGGGGACGCTGCGGGAG